TTGGTGTTAGCAATACTTTATGCTATTACTGCTGAATCCACAGGTCTGCACTTTTAGCAAGATGCTTTACTGAGTTCTGTGGAATGTAACTGGTATGTAGATAACCTGTTTTTCACTAGAGAAGCTTTGAGCCAGCTCTGAATTTTTCTTTCAGTTAGTTTTGCATTTCTAACAACAGCAGGGCAGTATCAGCGTGACAAAATCTCAGGAATTTGAGGGGGTTTTCTTTATTTCTAAAACTTACATATTAATTTTATTCACAGTTCGTTCTACTTCCTTCTATTTTCCCTTGCCTGGTTTTGTACCACCACTTTATAAATGAACAAAGCATCCATCAAGGTGTTGAAGGGAGGTAGAATCCAAAGACACAGATTTGTTTGGGACCAGAAGAGAAACCCAAATGGGGATTATGGAGCTTCTAGACATGCAGACACCTCTGGGTGCAACCACCTGAAAGCAGCACGTTGGATAAAGAACTGTAACCCTAAATCCTGGAGGCAGAAGGGCTAAAGGCCAAATCCATGGGATGTAGCCATGGCCAGTCCCCAGCCACGATGAGGAGCACTCTGATCCAAGGGCAAACAGCACAACTTCTTCCCATCCATGGGCACCCTCTGCAGCTTCCCCTCTTCTCACTGCCATCCCAAAGCTTCTCCTTTTGGGTGAGCCATCTCCCCTGTCCTCTGAGAGAGTTAATGGCCGGAATGTCAAAGGTTCAGCTGTGAAATCATGCTTAGAAGGCAAAGCTTTCTCTTTTACCCAGTGGAGAACGATGGCCAAAGTAGAGCAGCACCCCAAAGTGACATGCTGACCTGGAATCCCAATCTCCTTGCCTGACATTTTAATTTTCGCTTGTCTACCACACGAGCAAGCTACTGAGCTCTGCAGAAGGGCAAATGGAACAAGAGGGAAGGTTGTTATTATTTTGGGTGGCTTTTTGAATGAGTTGATGATAGCCAAGAATTGATTTCATCATGACTGGGGCAAAGTACTTGTTATGCATTCACAAGTCCATTCACAACTCAGCCACCAGCTCCAGTTATCAGATTGTGAATTGTTCTAGCAGAAAGATCAAAAACTCTCAGAAATATTTTTATTTTGACACATTATTGGAGGGGAGGAATTTTTTCTTCACTGTTACAGACTGGAAGCTTTTTCTTGAATGACTTTGTTGCTAGTTTTAGATGTATTTCCCTTTTCCTTGCAGATGAGAGATGAGGACAGCGGCTACAACAAAAATCTGTTTTGCATTCCTAAGCATTATGAAGAGGATTTAGAAAGAGTCTTCATTCCTCATGGACTCATCCTGGACAGGTATGAGGGTAAACAGGAAAGAATAGGGACAGTGATGCCAATTTTTGTCCCTCCAAATGAAAAAAGCCTGAGGTCCTGCCCTGTGCAGCCCATGAGAAACGGGGAAACCCTGCAGCCCAAACACTTGTGTCCTAAAGTCTGGTGTAAGAGGGGGTTTATGGAGAGGATTCCTCTGCAAGCCCAGTCAAGCTTCCATGTTCCATCAACTATCTTGAAGCCCACCTATCCTGCAATATTTGTGTTTATGGGTTAAATCTGCTTATGCTGTGCAAATACCTAATTTATTTTCCTACGACCTGCTGTGGTCTCAATTTGCTAGTTATGAAAACCTAACAGCAAGATCAGAACTTTTACTTGAACATTGCTTAATATATGCACAAACAGCTCTGATATACAGAACACTTTCCAGAATTCCTTTTTTTTCCTTCTTTCTCCCAGGACAGAGCGTTTGGCTCGAGATATCATGCAAGACATGGGAAGTCATCCCATTGTTGCACTCTGTGTCCTTAAAGGAGGCTATAAATTCTTTGCTGATTTGCTGGACCATATAAAAGCACTGAATCAAAATGGTGATAAATCTGTGCCCGTTACCGTGGATTTTGTCAGAATAAAAAGCTACTGTGTGAGTAACTTTCTTTTCTTTGGAAAATTAACTCTCTCCATAGACTGGCATTCTAAATACTGGTGGTTTGTGTGAGAACCCCACAAAAATTGAGTTTATGTGTACATTCTGTTCCAATTACATACTAAAAAGGAACTGATTTACTGATCTGCCCCAAAGGGTGGATATTATATATTCACTGGGATAAGCGTAGCAGAACACTCAACATGACAGAGCCAGGAGCAGATCTCAAACTCCTTCCTCTTGCAAGAAGCAAGAGCAACTCACCTTTCAAACAAATCCAGGACAACACTTTGGGGCATGCTTTATGTGACTTCCATCTCTTCTTTCTCCTTCTAGACTGAGTCACCTGCAGAAAAAATCAGTTTTATTGGAGAGGAGCTGTCTACACTAAGTGGGAAGGTATGAATTGGCATCTTCAGCTTTTAA